TGGTGAGCTGAAAAGAAAAAGTAAAATAATAACCTTAATCAGGTTGACAGTGAGATTTTTTATAAATGGAACTAAAAGGCTGGGATAAGAACAGAAAATAGAAGCGAATTATTGGGCTATGAGATCTTGCAAATTAAAAACAGAATAAAGCTATGTGAGTATTCAATTTTTATGTGGCTACAGCATGTTATCTGGGCAGTTTAAGACCAAGTAAAATGTTTATCTGCTCACCCCAAACACACACAAAAACAAAGCAAAGCAAAACAAAACACTTTTCAGCTTGCGGTGTATGTATATATTTTTATTTAGAAATGGCAGTCCCCTGTTGCATTAGAATTGGAGGTTATGTGTCCCAATTACTAGGTTTGAATTCATTAAGTAAAAACTCTTTGTTATATTATGTTATATAACAAACCAAGTTATTTAGTGTAAGTTTGTATTTTTAACCTTTGGTTGCATATGTGTTTGTAGATATTACTTCTAGTAGACAGTAAATTTCCAAAGGTTGGGAAGGAAAAATGTTATTGAGTTCCAATTTTAGAGTCAAAATCTTTATATCAGATGACTAGGTTTGCATGGGGCTGTGACCAAATAACAACAATTATTTCTGTAAAATAATTATTATTAACAATTTCTAAATTGGTTTAATTTTAATGAATGTTTATTTTGCATTCTTTCTATATTTTTGATTTGAATGTTTTGGATGTTTTGCTTTATAAAATGATGCTGAGATTCATTAGTTTGTATCAGTTAAGCATTTGGGTGCCACTATTGTGATAAGGAATTTAGCATTAGAACTGACACTAAAAAAAGTGTTCGCTTTCCTACTTTTGCACTGCTTCTCACAATAAGCCAAAGACAACTCTCTTATAAATTATTCATGTCTTTGTATCATACACATTTCCCATGACAGTGCCAGCCTCAGAGGAGCTCAGCAAATATTTGTCGAATGAATGAATAGAAACTCAGTCAGAGCCATATTATAAAATAAATACAGTTTTCAAAATCTTAAGCCTGCTATAAAGTAGATGTTAGACATGATGAAGCATATACTAGTTGTGGGAGATTTATTGCCTAAATTCAGTAATGAATGGTTATTACTTTTAAATGTGTTCAGTCAAGTGGCAAAAGTTTTGAGAATGATTTGGTTTGAATAGTAGTTGTAAATGTTTTCCAAAATATTTAGAAATAGTTGACCTGAGAAAATACAAGAACATTAAAGAAGACTTAAAAAAAATTGGATTTAATCAGACTGTAAGGTTATCAATAAAGGCACTTATTTTCTCACTTGTAACATGGAATTAATAATATCTTTCTTGATTGTGCGTAATGACTATTAGTTCTTCGTTGTGCACATGAGTCAAAAACTAGCAGAATTCTAAGGGAGGTCACAGTATTAAAGAACTTGATGTTTCCAAAGCAAGAAGGATCCCAATCTGAGCAGGTAACATGGAAGCATTTGGAAATTGTCATGTACATTATTATTATTATCCTACTATTTAAAAGGATTCTCTGCTCCCTTCTTCCCAGTTTTCTTCACAGCTCTAGTGTAAAGCTAAAGAATTTATAGGTTATGTGTCATCCTTGGCTACAGAACCAAAACTGATGGTTCCCATTAAAGGTTCCCAACCAGAAAAGAGAACAAGACATAAGGACTACTCTGAGGAGACAACAATAGAGGCTTTTGAATATATGAGAGTTTTGTCAGCTGAGGAAGATGCTCAGGCCAGCCAGAAACCCTCTATTAGTGTATCAGCTCAGGAACAAGATTAATTTTTAAAAAAATTTTAAAGTCACAGAAGGTAGCCCATTCCCACACACATTTCTCCATGGCTGGCCATTGGGAAGAGTCTTTCGATGACCAGTTGAGTGCTCTAATGGGGCTCTGTAGTTCCACTGCTATCCAAACACTGGTTTATGTGATAAAGTTCTTCTTTAATAAGTAGTTTATTTTGTTTGTTTCTAATTTAATCCATGTGTCTAAATCATTGAACTTATAAACTTGTTTTTATAGTATAGTAGTTAGAACTACAAACTTTAAAGCCAGCTTTCTTGCTTAAACTTGAATCCTCATGGAATCACTAACTGTGTGATTTTAGCCAACTTATTAACACACCCTGTCCCTCAGTTTCTTTGTTTGTAAGAGGATTTTTACTATTACCTACCTTAAGGAGTCGTGACAAATAATGACAATACACGCAAGAGCTTTGAACAGTGCCTGGAACATTTTAAATATCTTATGATTGGTAGTTACTATCTTTAATGCTGTTTGTTTTTAATGGGATTTTACTTTAGAATTTTACCCTAAGCACTAAAAAATAACATAAAATAAAGATACACTCAGTTTTAATATAATAGCTATTAGAATTATCTTATAAGGGTGATGATTATGATAACTTTCATTTTATTTTTACCATTATTTATAAAAAGTTCGTTTTGAAATTAATTGCAATTTAACATGCAGCGTATGCATAGAATTTGGTTGACTGCTTTTCAAATAATCCAAGTTAAATTAAGTAAACTCCTAACTATCTACATGGCATAAAAAAATTATATTAATTTTCAGTATAGTATTATAAGATTCAAACATATCAAGGTAAGGAGTTAGAGTTTTTTAATGCTGTATAGCCATATCACAGACGGTAGTTAGTATTAGTGCTTTGATAATTTACTGATTTTTGTCTATAATGTATTTTGTATGTTATTTTTCTACTAATCAGAATATGAAAGTAATTTTATTATCCTAAATTCTAGCTACTTATTGGCTGCTTAGAGTTATTAAATGAATTATAAATATTACCAAAATGTCACATGTACTTCTAAATATCATATTATTCTGTACTGAATCATTAAATGCAAAATAGTTCATAAGAACTATCACAACTTAGTGTGGCTTTTTTTTTTTTTTTTTTTTTTTTTTTTGTGACTGGTAAGGGGATCGTAACCCTTGGCTTGGTGTCAGCTGCACCGCACTCAGCCAGTGAGAACACCAGCCATCCCTATATAGGATCCGAACCTGCGGCCTCGGCACTCCCAGCGCTGCTGTGTTCCCAGCACTGCACTCTCCCGAGTGAGCCACGGGTTTGGCCCTAGTGTGGCTTTTTGAGTAACCCCTTATAAAATTTTACTTGCTAAAGTTGAATACTAAAATTTTACTGGGTACTCTTTGTTTGGATCTGTACCTAATCTTTTATGTTACTTGGCACCATTTACTTATTCTTTCACCTTTAGTAATCACTTTTTTTTACCTCAGGGGAGTCAATAACCAAAGTATAATAATTATTTTATTTAAAATAAAGAAAATAAAATAGGATTAGTCACTATTGCTACTAAAACATAAACACTATAAATTCTAAGTGGTAAAAGAATCTAGAAGTCAGGGAAACTTTCTCTGGGTTGTGCTTCATGGAGCCATATTCTTTGAAAGTACCACATAAATAAAGTGATGAATTACTATGACTGAACTTTCATAACGATCCAATTACTGCTCAAAAATCTTATGTCACCATAAATCATTATAGTATATAATTCATTTCATATCATTTGTTTCTTAGCATTTCTATTAAAGAGGTATCATAAAAGACACAGTCAATTTGATTTACAGTTATTATGGAAAATACAATCTTAAAAATTCTCCAATAAGTATAGACTAGAAATCATGGAAGCTCCTTGCTATTTTTGCTATGTGTGTCTTTTTTCCCCCAGAAAAGTGTTTCTTACCCTGTCTTTCTATATGCATACATATGTTTAATAATACTTTCCTCTGTAGCATGTTTCCAGGAAATCATCATCTCTCTCCTAGACTATTGCTACTAATAGTCTTCTAACTCAGAATTCCAGCTTCTACTTTTTCCTTTTTTCACAGTCCATTCCATAAACAGAAGCCAATCATGTATAAGCGTGAGTTGGATCGTATTCTTCCCTGCTTTAAACTTTCACATGGCTATCCATTAAAATTGGAACACAATTCAAACACCTTATCATGGCCTGCAAAGTTTTGCCTTTCTCTTCTACCCCCCCTTATCTATTATTTGACCTCTCCCTCCCAACCAGAGCAACTCCAACTCCACTCTCCACAGCCTTCAATTACATTCACTTTCTTTCTGTTTCTTGAACATACAAGGGTGTTTCAAAAAGTTCATGGAAAAATAAAATTAGAAGATGACAAAAATCTTCCCACAAACTTCTCAAAGTACCCTCGTACTTCATGACCCTTGCACCTCTGTTCACTCTTCCTAGAATTCTTCCCTTAGGTCTCTGGTTACCTTTTTCTGATAATTTATGTCCCTATTCACATGTCACCTTCTTAGAGAAGCTTCTCCTAACCGCTATAAATAAAGTAGATCTACCTTCGCCCAAGTCACTTTTTATCCCTTCACCCGGTTTAATTTTCCCCATAGCATTTTTTATCATCTGATTATATTAGTTACATATCCATGCCTGTGTTCTTGTCTCCTTTGGTTATTACTGTACTATTATTATCTTTAGACATGGCTGGCACGTAGTTGGCATATAGTAAATCTTTGTGGAATGAAAGAATGGCTATTTTCAATATTGAGCTATTTTAACTCTGTGACTTCAATACCAGCCTACCATTTCTACCTATGACTCCATGGTCATTCTCTAGTCTTAAGGCTCCAGCAAAAATAGTCTTATTCTACCTCCTCTTATTCATCTCCTCTTTGATTATTGTCTTAACTCCAGCAAGTCTGTGATTATATTGTGGCTAACTTCTAAAGGTAAATTAAAATTGCCTCAGTTGTCTTTGATGATAACTAGCTCTTTCCTGAGCACACTAGAAATTAAAAAATAAAAATAAAGATACTTTCCATAGGTTTTTTTTTTCCCCCTTGCATTAAATCTTCTGATTCTTAAGTAGTGTCAACCTCAACATGGATCTCTCATTAAAGTAAAATCTAGAAAGGGTATTAATGTTAAACCATCTTTCTGAGTTTACACAGGTGATGACAGAAATATAATGTGCTTTGTTATTCTTTTAGATCTCCAACTAAAGACATGGATTCAGAAGAGAAGGAAATTGTAGTTTGGGTCTGCCAAGAAGAGAAGATTGTCTGTGGGTTAACTAAACGCACCACCTCTGCTGATGTCATCCAGGCTTTGCTTGAGGAACACGAGACTACATTTGGAGAGAAAAGATTTCTGCTGGGGAAGCCCAGTGATTACTGCATCATTGAGAAGTGGAGAGGCTCAGAACGAGTTCTTCCTCCATTAACGAGAATCCTGAAGCTTTGGAAAGCTTGGGGAGATGAGCAGCCCAATATGCAGTTTGTTTTGGTTAAAGCAGATGCTTTCCTTCCAATTCCCTTGTGGCGGACAGCTGAAGCCAAATTAGTGCAAAACACAGAAAAACTGTGGGAGCTCAGCCCAGCAAATTACATGAAGACATTACCACCAGATAAACAAAAAAGAATAGTCAGAAAAACTTTCCGGAAACTGGCTAAAATTAAGGAGGACTCGGTTTCCCATGATCGAGATAATATGGAGACATTAGTTCATCTGATCATTTCCCAGGACCATACTATTCATCAGCAGGTCAAGAGAATGAAAGAGCTGGATCTGGAAATTGAAAAGTGTGAAGCTAAGTTCCACCTTGATCGGGTAGAAAATGACGGAGAAAATTATGTTCAGAATGCATATTTAACGCCCAGTTTCAGTGAGGCTGAGCAAAATCTAGACTTGCAGTATGAGGAAAACCAGATTCTGGAGGACCTGAGTGAAAATGATGGAATTGTACAACTGGAAGAACAACTAAAATATTACAGGATGCTCATTGATAAGCTCTCTGCTGAAATAGAAAAAGAGGTAAAAAGTGTTAGCATTGAAATAAATGAGGATACAAAGGGGGCAGCTGCAAATGAACTGGAAAGCTCTAATTTAGAAAGTGTTAAGTGTGATTTGGAGAAAAGCATGAAAGCTGGTTTGAAAATTCACTCTCACTTGAGTGGCATCCAGAAAGAGATTAAATACAGTGACTCATTGCTTCAGATGAAAGCAGAAGAATATGAATTGCTGGCCAAGGAGTTTAATTCCCTTTACATTAGCAACAAAGATGGATGCCAGCTACAAGAAAGCAGAGGGAAGGAATCCAAGGTTCCCAGCAGCAGTGGTGAAGTTCCTCCCTTTGCTCAAAGGGTATTTAACATGTATACAAATGACACAGACTCGGACACTGGTATCAGTTCTAATCACAGTCAGGACTCAGAAACAACTGTAGGAGATGTGGTGCTGCTGTCAACATAATTTGAATGGCTTCTTTCTGACCTGCTTTAATGTTGTTCATGTTTGTTTAATTTAATAGCAAACTTTATGTTAAGTCTAACTTTCTGAAAAAAATATAAATCGTGTTGTTCAGTAGTTTAAAAAAACTAGATAAATTTGTTGTTTTTGACATGAGTTCTAAGGTGACCTCATGCAAGCAATGAACTATTTATTAGGAATGCAGCACAAAGAGCTTGTAGGTATATAATACAGAAATAATTTGATTCGGATTGTATGATAGTCTCCCATAGTTTCTATAGGAAATTGTATAAACTTAAAAATAATTCTCAGTATTAAACAGCCAAAATATTCAAACTGCACACATGAAGAACTAATGAAGAACACATGAAGAAAAATTAAAATGTGCTGTAATACTTCTTTTCCACACTGTATTATTGGAATTTTTAACTGTAAAGTACATGACAGCTGCTGTGTTGTAGTTTCATTAATCTAAATTTTGGTTCTTTTAATTGATACTTAGATTGTACAACATATCATGTCTGTCACTTCCTGAACTCTTCTACCTGTTTAGGCCTATGTGACAGGCTGCTGTTGGGACATGTAGAAATACTGGCAGGGGATCAGACAGGGGTTTAGATAAGGTAGGGCCAAGTGCTGCATACAAACAGCAATTTTTCTAAAGAAGCCCCAAATTACTAAGAGCTATGCATGGGCTTTTGCTATCTGGCAATGCAGATCTTCTGATCAAACCAGTGTTCTGTGTAGGCTCGTTCTTTGAATAATGTATGGTGTGGGTTACAGAGGAAATCAAAAAGTCTTAGTCGTGTTTGTTTATGACCTATTTATAGAAGTAGAAATGATAAAATTTGGGGTCCTGTGTGCTAGACTATACTTGGTTTTGCTTAGTCTTATTTAGAAATTTACTTTCTCTTTTTCTCCCTTCTTTCCTTCCTTTCCTCTTGTTTGCCTACTTGTCTGCCTTTCCTCCTCTCTTTTCCTGCCTCCATTTCTTCTTTTTCCCCTTCCTCTCATTCCCCCTTCCTTCCTTCCTTCCTTCCTGCCGGTGAACACATGATGTAATCATATGGAAAACAATTTTATCATTTTACTGTACTGTTAACAGAATGCTGCTGCATTTTATTTCTCTTTAGCTAATAACACCTTTCCTGTATGTTAATTCACATGTAAGTAGAAATATTATTTTGCTTAGTTTTAATATGGTTTAATTGGTTAAGATTCCCAGTATGTCTCATTCCTTTCCTTTTATTCTCATGTATACTGTAATGTAGATTTTAACTTTTTTTTTTCAATTTTCAATTTGAAATGTGTTTAACGTTTTAACAAATTTATTGTTAACTCAATTTTATGAATCTATTTTTTCATTCCTCTCTCCCTCAGTCTTTTCACCCATCGTTGGGAAGTTATCTTAAATTTCATTAGAGTTTTACTTCTGAGGAACACCTATGTTATCGTTACTTACACCAGGATATTTTCACGCCACATTTGAAGTTGGCTGGTAATAAAAGCAGAAATTTCCGTTCCATGGAAAGTACAGAGATAAAGAGTAATAATGTTAACATGGGTTATAATTTTTTAAAAAGGAGGAATTGAGTAGTCATCTGTGAAAGGAAAATGTACCTGACTAATAGCCCATTAAATCATTCAGCAATGTGGTAAGCTATTGACATATTCTTTGCTACTGGGGATTAAATTCAGATCATCTTAATGTAAATTATAAACCAATTATAATGCTGTTTTCCTAAAGCAAAAGTAATCTCTCTGGATTACCCTTATCTTTAGTAAGAAAATAATGCAAAGAACATTGCTTATCCATTTGCCTAATTATAATTATCTGAATTCAAAAGAGGTTCTAATAAGATATAGGCCTGGAGAGATAATTTCTGATCTATATAGTTAAGAAAGGTGATGCATTCCAGGAGGTGATTCTTTTATATTTTACAGTAAATAATGTTTCAAACTCTTGGTAGAAAGCAGGACAATTGATTTTTCAATTCATTTTAGAATTTCTATTTGCTCTTTAGTTATACAAATATATTTATGCTTTTGATTATTACAATGTTAAATCATTTATCAGTTACCATGGTGAATTTCTAATTTAGAGTTCTATATTAATATATTAATACAAATAGAAATACTAAAATACAATACACTCATGCCTGAATACTGAGCTATTTGTTATTAAATTAAGTGAGAATTAGAGTTATAAATACAGGACTTGATACTTATTAAACTTTAAACTTTATTAAACATTCATTTTCATTATCCATAGAAACTTTAAAGTATTTACAAATTCTTGAATAACATGACAGGTTAAGTATGAAATTGCTATATACAGCTAGAAGAAGCAAACCAGTGCTAAGTATGCTTGATTTATGTAAGACCAAGATTGTTCATCCTTCCACTTGGAATGCCTCTTTTTTTTCTACATCAGCCGTAGACTAAAATCTTCCCATATTCAGTCTTTTAAATGTGTCTCTTCTATGGAACATTTTTGTTCAGTTCAATCAGTTGTAATCACTTAACTCTGAACACATAACTATTTTAGATGTATTTCTCATAGAGGAGCATTTATATTCTGGGTTAGGTTGCATTTATTTATTGACTCCCCTCATCCAAAGGATTCTTAAGATATTACTTTATCACCTACCTTGTTAACCCTACTCCCCCAATCAACTTCTTTGCCTCTCCCACTCAATTTTTGAGTCAAATTGCTAAATTTTAGAGGATTGTAGGTTTGGAATTTTTTTTTGGGGGGGGGATTTTTGTACATGGTAATGATACTCATATGTTCTGTACATAAATACGAAGTTTAGTGAACTTAAAACACTAACAGTAATTGTACTTAGAAATTTTAGGGGGTGGATGGTGCTAAATCTTCATGTTGCTAGGAATTTTTTTAAGTGTGACATCAGCTTTTAACTATAATTCACAGAATTACTGATTAAAGCATCACATACTGTCTTTTTAGCCAATTTAATGGTTAAATTATGGAATTTTTCTCTGCATCGTGTGCTTATAAGGAAAAACATATTTTATAGAGGTGAGTTTTAAGAGGTAACCAAAATAACATTGAAGTACTCTAAATGAAATACATACTTCTTAATGAGAAACATTTTTAAAAAGTTTCCTCATTAGTGTGTAGAAGCTGTTCTAATCCATTAAAATTTTATTTTTATATTTATTTAAACGTCTACTGTATGTGACAAAATATATTTCTGTGGCTGCCTTTTATAATTTTGCAAAGTAGGATTATTGTTTTTCTATTTAAAACATATTTTTCTAGTGACAAAGGGGTACCTTTAATCCTGATATAGATTTTCTAAATATTAGGCTATTACTTTTCATACTGCCCAATGTTTTAATAATAAACCTGATATCACAAGTATAAAGTATATATTTCTTCAAGTTGTAATTAATGCAGAATAAAAGGAATAACTGTACCCTTTCATGTGATATTGTCTTTGTGGGTGTGTTACTTGACTATATTGAAAATAAATTTTATATAGGTTTGAATTATATAATTGCTAAGCTAGCTCTCACAATTTAAGATTAGTTATTATTTCCTGACAGTGTAAACATAGAGCAAATAAAATCTAACAAAACTTTTTACTAGGTTTTATACATATTTGTTCCAATTTTCTTGGAAGAATGTCCTAACTTTTATACTAAATAGCTGGTTTTACGGCACAGTTATCTTGCTTTTAATGAAATCATTCTAATGTAAAATATTCAAGAAAGTGTAAATCTTTCCAACTATAATTCACTTTGTCACTGTACTCTTCTTTCTCAAAATAGGCCATTAATTTAAACTTTTTTTAAAAACTAAATCATTTGAGCCACAATGGAAATTCACTTGTTCATTCTGTAAATGACCATGAAATGGCTTTATTAAAAGATTGTATATAATGTTCAGTAAAACATACAGAAATATGTTAATACTATTTTCTTAGCCAATGTATCTCAATAGTGAGAGAAAACACACACAATCATATTGTTAATCTTCATTTAATTTGTATTTTCAATAATTGTTGGAATTGAGGTTCACAAATTTTAAGTTCTATAATTAGGTTCATATTTGGCAGTAAAAATCTTGATTATCTTGATAATACAAATAAAAGCAATTTAAATATTACGTTTTTCTTAAGTAGAAATATCAGGCACCTTGCAGAAGGCTACTAATTCTTTCACTTCATTTCATATATATATAATACCATTAATTCTATTTTTAGATAAAACAGACACATGATATAAAACTCAAATTTTTCAAAAATTTTACACAATGAAAAGTAAATCTCCTTTTTATCCTTGTGGTCTTTCTATCCAAATGTCCTCCTCAAAAATGCCCAATGTTAAGTATTATTTATGAATTGTTCTAAAGATAATCTATATGTACACAGGTATACATGTATTTATCACATATATTATATTATTTTCCAGAAAGGGTTGCTTACTGTACAGACACTTTGGTACTTTGCTTTTCTCATGTAACACTTTTCTTATTTTTAGATGTGACTATTCTGGAGGTGATTCTATATTGGTTAGGTAGAGATACTACATTGCTGATATTCGCTTGATGGCAGCGGGGAATTCTATTGTATCAATTATTGTAACTTATTAAGTAGACCTTTCCTGATGAGATTTTAGGTGGTTTCCAATCATTTACTATAAACAATGTTACCGTATCAATGCATTTCTGAGAGGCTAGATTGCTATATATAAAAATATTGGCTCAAAAGGTGACAAAGACATTTTAATTTTTTATGAATATTGACAATCTCTGTGGAAATTAATCTTTGTTAGCTGAGTTAGAAATATACTCTTCCCACCCACAGTGTGTGCTATTTGTCTTTTTACATGCTTATTTTAATGCAAAAAGAAATTTATCTAATTGAATTTATAGATTAATAACTCATGAGTTTTTTTTGATGTTCTTAAAAAGGCCTTTACATTGCATGATAAATAATTTTAAAAAATAATTTTTCCATGCTTTTTTAAATTAGTGCATTTATGTTTTAGTTTGAAATGTTTGAACAATCCATAATTTATTTTTTTACAGTGTTCTAAAGTAAGGAGATAACTTGTAATCATCTGAATGAGAATCAGTTATCCCACATCAAAATTACTTTGTCCTGCTGTTTTTAAGTGCCA